AATAATCCTATCCATCCCTAACGACTTACCCACCACACTTGCTAGAAAGCTAAGACTTTTGACACTCCAATACTCCAGAGGAACATCAAGCAGCTTAATCCACAGAGGCACAATATGGGGGGCTTCTTTGCTCAACTCTAGCTCAGGTTCCCATTTTCGGAGAAGGATGGGCCGATTCTGGATGAGCCATGGGCCATCCTCCAAACACTGTAACATGTCTGCTTCATCCCCAAATTTGATGAAGAATAAACCTTTATCATTCATCATGATCTATCGAACTCCATATTTCTTCCAAAAAATTTGAGCCCAGTATTGAACGGAGTGGAAAGGCGGCTTTTTGTCAATGAACGACCCAACTAGACAGACTTCCCATTTCTTCCTGCCTTCCTCGACTGCTTCTGGGGGAAGACAAACCGTGACAGACCCATCCTGTTCAATTGTCAGAGCATGGAACTCCATGGTAAGTTTCTCCCGAGGGGGATGATTCGCTACGACCCGGGCCCAATTCCTATCATAGGGCAGATTGCCATCTCCCAAAAGGACCCTTGTCACCCTAGAAGAAATGTTAAAACGAGACCCGAGGAAGGGGCAGGATTTGCGGACACATTTTCCTCCAGCTCAACCACATTAGACTCCCTCCCTGGATTTGATCTGATCATGCCACATTCCATTGAAACCGGATCCCCATCAGAGAAAGAGACTATCTTGGCCTCATTATTGGAGGACCCAACATTTTGCAGGAGCCTATGTTCCCCATTCTTTCCAGACATTCCCTTGCAAGCAGCAGCAAAAGGCCCATCAAAATTGCCCTTGTCTAATTGATTACCCAAATCTTGCCTTAAGGATTCACTACGACCCATAACACAGCCCAACCCATTTGACAAACCTTCATCTTGATCCTTCGTCAGAGCCACCGTTCTCGTATTACTGGTGCTCATAGACGACCAGAATTGAACTCCCTCTGTAACACCACCACGTTTCACCGGAAGGTTCCTATCCCGAGCCCAAGCATTATCTTCAATTCCCACCATTTTATGAGTGAGTTGCAGCCCATCCGACGTCTGTGACTGAGTCCCATTAACCACCATCTTCCGCTCATTCCTAGTAAAGAGCAAAGAAGGATCCTCACTTGTCATCCTGTCTTCCCTAAGAGCCCGATTACTACGACCTTCATACAAATCGCGTCTATCCAAGGAACCCATTAGTTTAATCGTCCCTATCTCGCCCTCATCAATTAAGGATTCCACATCCCCACTAGATTGTGAACTATGGGAGGAGGATTTCCCTCCTCTTTTCATGCGCCGCGACCCCTGGCTCAAAGGAGCATGTTTCCCCACAAACACTTTGATGGGTTTCATAAATTGGCACTTCCCAGAGGACCTGTGCCGCCTCAGAGTAATCGTGACTTACCCACTAAACAGAAATTCACCCCCTCTTGTGGCCTGTGGCAGAGCTAACGGAGAGAGAAGGTTAAACAATAATACTTACATATCCCATTGGAAAATACTACACTTATCGATCCTATTAGCATGCAATTGCTTTCCCGAATATAAAATACAGAAGTTAAATTAAGAGAACCAAATATAGCTTGAAATACTTCTAACCAATATCATTATTTAATAGAATGTGAAAATACAAAAGTTAATATCATTAATTAAGAGAATGTGAAACATGGTATTACATAGACCATCGATCATTCTAAAATATATCATAGCTGAAACAAATATTTTTACACAGACCATTAATTATCATTTTAAAGATGATCATAAAAACATTCTTCATGCATAAAATGAATGGCATTGATTCGGCCATTATGAATGATGCCCATGCAGTTAATGATTAATAATTCACTTGAGTCCAAGAAAAAATAAGTAAGCTAGCATGCAATTGCTACAATTTTTCCCGAATATAAAAAGATAGACAATAAAGAGAATCAAAGATGTATTGAAATACTTCTAACCAATTTCACTATTTAATAGAATGTGAAACTGGCATTACATGACCATCGATCATTCTAAAATCGATCATAGTTGAAAATTTCTGTTTAAACCCAGCCTGGCCCGACCCGATCAATTGAACCGGTTCAATTAGGACCCGAGGCTTTCACCGGACCGAGTTACCAATTTTACTATTCATCAATAAACCTAAAAATTAAGACAATTATTGGCAAATAATTAAAGGCTCTGATGTTGGGAACGATCGTCAATTCCACCCGTTTGGCTATGTAAAAGATGAAATTATTCGAAGGATGCAACACCTCTACTTGGGCCATTAATACCACGGCCATAGGTTATACTATAGACGTAATCGCCATTAACACATTTGAATTCCTCGCCTCCTTCAGCTATGGTACAACAAGTGTGATCACAAGAAACTCTTGATAAGTAGATGAAGCTCGTGGACCGTATATGGCACAACTTTGGGGAAAACAGTTTATGCAAGGTTGACATTTTGTCCAACTTAGGCCACCAACAGTATCTACCAATAAATACACAAATTGAATTGGAGTTCCTATCATAATTTGAGCAGTATGGAAGTATTTCTGACGATCTAGAGTGGCAAAATGCTTGTCGTCATCAATGTTGCTTTTGATTATGAAACAATATGGAAAGTAATATGAAATCAAACAAGTAAACAATCACAAATATCAAACTAGTGAAGAGAATGAAAACACGTGTAATTTACCTCGGTTCATCTAATAACATGTCTCGCCTCTTATTGTTAAAGTGGTTGACAACTCCAACAGATTATGAGTAAAACTCATTGAGTAGAAAAAATAAAATAAAAAATAAAAGTTTCCTTCTAATTAAGTAGAAAATAGTAAAAATATATTGCTTTTAATCATCATCTTTTCATTTAGTGATGTGCGACGTAAAATGTTTTCTAAACAAAAATATCGTAATTGATGCTAATACATGGATGCAATCTATGTTAACAAATGATGTCTACAAATGTTGTAAGTTGTTAACAATTTTTACTTTAAAAATAAGGGTAGAGTACCGTGGTTAAAATTTTATAAATATGTATATTTAAATTCATAATTTATTATATAATATTATAATGTTCAAGATTATTTTGACTTTTAAAAAATAATTACAATTGATTATATCCTTTGACAAATTCTTTTCTTTTAAATGTACAATAAGACTATTTGGCTAATTCAGAGATAGTGTGTTTAATACTAGATATATATATCCATGGTAAAGAGATTGAAAGCAAGTTAGTGATGAAGGATTAATTGCCTTGAGTCCAAGAAGAACAGCTTTGGCAATTCATTATTACATAACCTTTAGGATACGTTTGGGTTAGGAAATGTTGAATTACTGGAAATGTTACTACAAGGAAAAAGGCATTTCTTGACAAAATTTCTTGATAGTTTTAAAAAATGGTCAAGAAATATTTTCTTTGACAACTTCTTGACTGTTTTTAACTGTCAAAGAGTTGAGACAATATTTGATTGTTTTAGCTAATCCTTAATTGTTATTAACTGTCAAGGATCGTGTAAAAATTAAGAGATGCAATTTAATTCCTTGACTATTATAGTCTTAATCCTTGACAGTGTTTAATTGTCAAGGATTAAGTTAAAAAAAAAAAAAAAGTCTCAAATTTGACTCCAAGGCTTCCCATCCTAAAATTTGCTAAGGCAAAATTTTTCGCCCAAACCAAAACACACAAGTCCCTTCCTGTCATTGTCAACACTCAAAACCCATTTTCTCCCAAAATTCTACGAAGTCAAAAATAAGGCAAGAAAACTGCCGCAAAAAACCGAAGTGTCTTCCACCCAAATCTCTCCCACTCAAAGCTCTCCCACCCAAATCTCCTCTACTAAACTAATCAGAGCCCGTAAACCCTAAATCTCCTCCACTAAATCACCAAAATCTCTTCCCCTAAGTCGTCAAAATCTCTTCCATCGATTGTTTCTGCAATTCTCAGTAGCAGCAACAATCAGTGAAGTCGTCACTTCGCCACCTCCGCCACCATAAACCATCACCAGTAAGATTGTTATTTTCTTCCTAAAATCTTTTCGTGCATTCACTAATTTTGGGTGAGAATAATACATGCATTGCTGTTGTCTTTTGATTTAATGTGAGAATAATGTCACATTGTGAGAAATCTTTTCATGTCTTTGAATATGCGCTGGACATAGTCTTTGCTTGGGTGTTTGTGGTTTATACTGGTAGCAGCCCAACGGGCCTTTGCCTTAAAAACAGAAAACTTGATTAATATATAGTCATTTGGGAAAGTCTAAACAATACAGTTGTACATTTTCATTTACCAATTAATTAGGCATATTTAACACCAAAGAAGGTAAGGCATTGTGGTTAGTAAGAAGTGTAAAGTGAAAATGAAATGATTACATGTGTTGTGTTACTGCAGAATCACTATCAATTTCTTTTGATATAAGTAGTTACTAAATTTGTTATTGTAATGATATTTTGAATGTTGTTGCTTTGAATTCTAGATACAATCTTTGAGGTTTACAGATTAGTAGATAAAGTACCATTTTGAAGTGCATTTGAAAATACTGCAGAAATTTTGCACTGAATTAGTTATAATAGTTAGAGAGACTGTGTTGCATTAATTTATAGTGAATGAAATGCTGTAGGGTTAATTAATGCTTTGTTTAAACAGAATGTCAAAAGAATATGAAGGAGAGGAAGAATTCTTAAGATTTGCTAAAATGAATTTCAAAGAAAGAGATGTCATTCCATGTAATAAAGTTTAAGATTCAAACATGTATGGATTAAACACGGATTAAGCAATCCTCAATAACTTCACTCTATTAGAAAGTGTTAAAATACATCACAAAAGCACACTCAATAAGAATCAAATAAAAATGAAAAACAATTTAGTTGCCTCAATATTCTAGCTCAAAATAGTTGTGTTTAAAGCTACCATGTTTCACAGTCCATTTAAGGATAATTTTGAAATTAAATTTTGTCAAAGACAATTTTAAGCATGTAATAATGTTTTGTCCATGGTTTACCATCATATTTAATATGGACAAATCCTGGATTACGTTGGATAGATTGTCTAAAGAATATGAAGATGGTGTTGAATTATTTTTGGAGTTTGCAAAAACACGGAGCAATGATCCACATAAGATTCCATGTCCATGCATAAAATGTGCAAATATGTTTTATCATACAATTCAAGATGTCCGTGATCATTTGTTTGTGTCGGGTTTTGACGAAAGTTATAGGATTTGGGTTTTCCATGGAGAAGATGTTGATTACAATTACTCGAGGAACATCAATGATTCATATCCCAATGAATCAACATTTAAAGACTTTGATATTACAAAGGATATGGTTCATGATGCTCACGAGTATTGCAAAGAAGATCCAAATACATTGAAATCACTTCTAGATTATTGTGAAAAGCCATTGTATAATGGGTGTAAATATAGTACGCTTAGTGGGTTCATGAAATTCCAATACTTGAAAGGGAAATATGGGTGGTCAGACACAAGTTTCTCGGATTTATTGTGTACCCTTCATGATGTCCTACCAGATGAAGATTCAATGCCTAAGTCAATGTATGACACAAAGAAGGTCATGGCGGCATTAGGATTAGAATATAAGAAGATTCATGCATATCAAAATGATTGTATTATATTTAGGAATGAATACAAGGATCTTTCCAAATGTCCATCTTATGGTGTTTCACGTTGGAAGAAACAAGTCGGTAAATCATCAAGCAATTCCAAAGTTCCTTCCAAGGTTTTATGGTATTTTCCTCTTATCCCTAGGTTTAGAAGGATGTTTTAGTCTCCATAAACTGCCTATGACTTAACTTGGCATGCACTTAACAATAAGAATGATGGTAAACTTCGACATCCAGTGGATTCACCCATTTGGAAACTTATTGATGATAAGCGGGATGAATTTGGTTTGGAAAGTAGAAATCTTAGAATGGCTCTTTCTACGGATGGTTTCAATCCACATAGATATCTCAGTTGTCAGTATAGTTGTTGGCTGGTGATGCTTGTAACCTATAACCTCCCATCTTGGTTGTGCATGAAAAGGAAGTTCATAATGTTGATGTTATTGATCTCAAGTCCACAACAACCTGGGAACAATATTGATGTATATTTGTCACCTCTAATTGAGGACTTAAAACAATTATGGGAAATCGGTGTTGAGACTTATGATGCTTATAGGAAAGAGTATTTCACCTTAAAGGCAGTGTTACTATGGACCATAAATGACTTTCAGCATATGGAAACCTTTCCGGTTGTTAATGCTTACTTCTGAATTAATTTTGTGTAGGGTGAAAGATGGAATACATGGAGAATGATGCATGTGATACTATAACATGTATATTCAAACTTTGCAAAAAAAAATTTCAATCAAATTAAAAACAAGTAAGGTATAACTTGTTACCTCAAGTCCTTAGCAACCTTGGAGACTTTTAATTTCAAGAGAAATTAAACAAAAAGAGTATCCACACTAAGGTAAAAGAAGAATTAGGCCAAGAGAGAGATTTAGGGTTCTTAGAAATTTTGATCTCTACCCTAAAGTTGATATATCATTTTCTTTATTTATGTAGCCTTGTAAACAATTCAATAATTGTTTTGGACTTCATTAAACAATTCCATAATTGTTTTTTGAGTTGTAAATAATTCCATAATTATTATGAAGTTGTTAAACTTCTTTAAATAATAACATTGGATTAACATTTAATCATAATTAACAATTTAACTCTTAAATTGTTTACATAACAATTTAACCCTTAAATTGTTCATATGTTTACCATTATAACCCATCATTAAATCCAATATAATATAAAGAAAATGATTAATTATGAATTGGAATTCCATTTAATTCCAATTAGCAATTTAACTCTTAAATTATTCATAATAACTTATATAACCCTCCATTGAATCTAATTCAATGATATTAATATAAATAACTTTATTACCCTTGGTAGATGCTAGCCAACCTTGAATAATCAACGCTCTTTGACTATTTCTCCATTCTCCATTCTCCTTAGTTTTTATGTGTGACCTCTTAGGTTCATTGTGGCCTAACTGTGGGCCCAATATCATAGTCTATTTCGATATGTTTTGTCATAAATCTTTATGAACCCACCGATTATGGTAGGCATCTAGCAATGCTCCATAACCCCTAAGTCACAATGAAGATATACTCCAACAAACCCTTTTATAATCATATGCACTATATAATCAAATCTTTCCATTGTCTAATCCCAATTAAGAATGGATTCATGGTGTGTCAAAATCCTTATCTTAATTTTATATTAAATTGACAATCAATACATATAGAACGTGTCACCATGAAATAGCCTTTCAAGTAACATTTTATATACCCCGCCAGAGATTTTCTTTTTCCAATGTATCTTAACATTTGTCTAGAAACTTGATATCAATCTATACCAAGTCAACGGATCCCATCTTGACTATCACTTGTCCTCACACATAAACAACATATGGCCAAATCGGCTTATTAACACATGACATGATTAGCTTCGTGTTTATACCCTAGTTAGTAAATACGCGTTTTATACGCGAATTATACGCTCACTGAGCGTATAAAACGCGTTTTAACGTATGTTATAAAAGTTGCTGAATTATACGCGTATAATATGAATACCCGTATAATTCGCGAATTATTCGCGTATAATTCGCAAATTATTTGCGTATTATTGCAAAAAAAAAAAAAAAACCTATNCTAGTAACCATTAAACTGTTTACAATTTGTTTATCTGCGATCTGGAGAGTTTACAATTTTGTTATTTAGTTATGATAGAACCCTAAGGTTATTGTTAGACCCCCCATTAAGAAGCTGTATCAATATAAAGGGCATAAGGGTTAAAAAGGTGTGAGAGTGCATGTGTATTAGTGGAGGGTGGTTAGGTGTCTTTTGCGTGTGAAAAATCAAGTGGTTAGTGGAAGGAATTGTTAGGACTATAGTTTGTTACTGTCCTTTTGTTTTTTATAATTGTTCTTATGAATTGTCATTTCCATTCACTTAATACAATACAAATCAATTTCCAGTTATTACATTGCTCTCTTTTTCTGCGTTTTTCCTATTGTGTTGCTGGGTTTGTGTGAAATTGTGAGGGAGTTTCTGATTTGTGGCACAGATTTGTTTGAGTGTTGATTGTATACTCTAGCGTGAATCTAAATACAATATATTGTCTTCATGCTGAAATCCTATTTCGTTTTTGTTTTGGGCTGATAAACTCTTGCTGTGTGATTATTCTATTGCTTCTTTGTGGTTGTTGTGTTGGGTACATATGAAATTTTGTTCATAGGTTTCATTGGGTTCTTGTTGCTATTGGCATGAAGACTTTAACTGTGTACTCTTTTGATTCCTTGAGGGGAGATATTGGGCAGGACTTATAGGAAATAGTGCAAAAGTTAGTAATTCTGCTTATGTCATTTTTAATGCTCTTTATAATATCAAATACTTTGTGTTAATTTCAGAAGTTGTTTTAACTTTCACAGTGGTATCTTAATCCATTCTGCTCGGAAGGTGTCTAAAAAAGGGGCTAATATCTCATGACAAAAAGTATTGGTGCTTAGAATTGTTACTATCAATAGCAATTAATTTTCAATTATAATATTGTTTTACCTTTTAAATATTAATGCTTACTTCCGAATTAATTTTGTGTAGGGACCCCGGGAAGTGTTGAATGTGGGTTTTATATAATAAGATACGTGAGAGATATAGTTGAGAATGGGTTGGCATTACTGAAAGACAATGTAAGTCTTTTGTTTTTTTTGTTTTGAATAATAAGATATAGTTGATATTTATTTGTTGATTAGTCTTATTGTGTTTACTTTTATAGTTCATGGGGAAAGAAATATACAAAGATGTGGAGGTCGATGAAGTTAGAGCTGAATGGGCGATGTACATAACAAACTTTCTTTAGTTATATATTGTTGTTTCAGTGATGTCAGAGGCCAATGAGGGCAAAAACTATGTATCAAATGTTTCATTATTGTTTATGCAATATTGTAAAATTTATGTACTGTTGTTCAATTTTGTTTACTCAAAGCAACAGTAATATATGTATTATTCGATCAATTGTTTGATTTCTCATTATATTGTTGAATGGTCATAATATTATAAAGCATTTCATTTGACTATTCTATAATTTAATACGTAATAATAATAAAAATTCATTAATTTAAAAAAAAAAACTAACAAACAAAATCTTGACAGTGTGAAAATTGTCAACAGTTTGGCTAAAATCCAAAAAAAAAAATTGAAAATTCAGCTAAATCCTTGACAGTTATTGAACTATCAAGATTTAGCTAATTGTCAAGGATTTGGTTCAAGTTCTGCTAAATCCTTGACAGTTATCGAACTGTCAAGAATCCGTCAAGAGGTCCTTGACAGTTTGAAAATTGTCATGAGCCTTTCTTGACAGGGGCTACAATGATAGCTCAAAAACTGTCATTGTACCCCCTTCTTGACGGGGAATGGGCGATGTACGTAACAAACTTCCTTTAGTGTTATATTGTTGTTTCAGTGATGTCGGAGGCCAATGAGGGCAAAAACTATGTATCAAACGTTTCATTATTGTTTATGCAATATTGTAAAATTTATGTACTGTTGTTCAATTTTGTTTACTCAGAGCAACAATGATATATGTATTATTAATGGAAAGTTAGATTACCTTGAAGATTATTGGGAATCTTTAGGAAAATGTGTTTGGTTAATTAGAATAAATTAGTAGATATGTTATATTAATATGTTTGGTTGGGAGGAATAAATTGGAGGAGATGTTATTTAAGAAACTAAATTGCCCTAATTTTTAAATATTAATATAATATTATTTTTATTATTAATTTTTGAATTATTTTTTTTACCCCCAACATTTTAGATTTAGCTAAAACACCCCAGTTTATATAAAACTTTAATTTATAAAAAAATCACCCCCACCCACCCCGAGCCATTGCACTGCTAGCCACCACTGCTGGCCACCACCTTCCACCGCCAAAAGTTGTCTAAAGTCACTGGAAATTGCCAAGAATCACCGGGAGGCTCCGATATGGTCATTTCCGGCCATATTGATGGCTAGATCTATCCTGGTCATTTGCAGCCAGATCTACGCCATCTAGCTGTTTTCAGCCATCAATATGGCCAGAAACGACCATATCGGAGCCTGCTGGCAACTTTCGGTGGTGGTTAGCCAACTGTCAACGGTGGTGGGCTACAATGTGTTTTAAATATAAGGGCATTATTGTCCAAAAACTTAATTAAACAAGGGTAAAATTGTAATGGTGGATTAATGTAAATTGATTTTAAAACAATGACATTATTGTCCAAAAATTTTATTAATAAGGGATAAAATTGTAACAAAAATAAGATAACCAAGTAATCTTACAATACTTAAGAAAATGGAGGTAATCAGATTACCTCCACTATTACCAACAGTAACTATTATTGATATTGGAAGATTACCGGAATCTTATAAATATGGTAATTAAGTAATATAAGATGATACTACCTCAGTAATCTCATATAATCCCCAACCAAACGCCCCCTTAGTTTAACCTTCTTCTTTTTATTTATTTATATATTTATTTTTTAGAGCTAAAGTTGGAAAATCAAAGGAAGAAAATAAGAGCAAGTAAGCAACCGTACTTCCTTTTATTTTATATTTTTTTTTATAAGTAAGTAGTATCATTAAAAAAGAGAAAAAATGTACAGAGAAACCATAAAAAACCAAGCATTCTACCTCAAGACAGGCCTTGGGGTAGGAACAAAAACATAAGCCTAATAGACTAAGAACCTAATCTCTCTTTATTTGTCTATCTTAAGCACACGAAGGATAGAAAGCAAGAGGAGAGGAACACAAAGACAAAGATATCCTACCACAAGACATGCCCTAGGATAGGATTCAAAAAAACATAAACAAGACTAAGAACAACAATACACAACATAATTTCTACCCGGGACAAGCTTTGGGTTAGGAAAACCAATATTCAGTCACATGTTGGTTTTATAGATGGTCATATTAATTACAGCAGACAATGTTCTTTCTTATTTCGCTGCAACAGCAATATCTGTTGCTACCAATTCTCCAAATAGAGAATACAATAAATGAAGATTCAAAGTTCAAACATTCCATTAGAAATATTAATTATAGCAGACGAGGAATTGACATTCTAAAATTGATCATTAGCACAAAGCTCATCATAAAACTGGACTCCATTGATTTGTCCATTATGAATGATGCGTTTGTTCCGCATTTCAAATGCTTCTAGCTTAGTTACCGATGGTCTTCCCAGTAATGGTACACAGAATAATCGTTCATACATAAGAATCAGATAAGTACCATCTATTACATAGTTTGCTCCTCGGAAATGGAAGGTGAGTGATGGATAATCTCTAAACCTCGCTCTCCTCCTGTAGCAAAGTTTGAAGGGTTAAGGATTTTGACCCTTCATTCAGTACTCTAATGAGATAATTGCCGATCATAGTGATGCACGATTGCGTTCATCACTGATTTATAGATATTCAACCCAGTGGCGGATTGCGCCGTAAGTACAGTAATTGGAACGCCAGAATCGATGATGAAACCATAACCAAGTGTAGGATCAGAGGTGTCCGGTGGAAGAGTTGATCTCCCAGACTTATATATACGTTAAAATGTAATGTGCATTTAGGTCCAATTAGACCCAATAAGGAGAATGTTCTAGAATTCTTCTGGTAACCTTCTTGAAAACATCTTTAGGAGATATTTTGATGCCTTGCAAATATCTAGATATTTGGGTAATAATAAAGTTAATTGCCTTTACATTTCTAAAAATCTATACAATCAAGCTAATAAAGTTAATTGCCTTCTAAAGTTATATAATGCGTTGTTGGAACATTACTTTGAGGTAATTGAACATCGCTTCCAAACTTCAGCATGTGAGAATGTACATGGAATGGAAAATTTAGAGAATAAGGAACAACATAATAAGAGAAAATATAATCAATAACAATTGACCAGAGGATGAACCTGGATTTAAGTTTAATTCCAACATTTTTCTGCCCAAGAGTCAATTGAAAGTTGATTGTTGACTAATTGTTTCTAAGGAGTTTTTATTATTATTTATTAAAAATTGTCATTGCCATTCTGAATACAAAATACAGCAGGAGAGAAGAAAGATGTAAATCATGGAGAAGCATCAGTAGAACATTGTTCATAATAAAATTGAAGGGCATTCGTGTTGCCATCATAAATGATCCCAGAATGCTTATCCCATTTCCAGCCTTCAATGCAACACAGAAATATCCTTGATCAACATTAAAATAATGCACATTTTCCGGATCTACAACGTACTGAGCTCCTTCGAAGCGGTAGACTAAAAATTTGTAACCAGTAAACCCCTCCTGGTGGGTTCTTGTAACAAAGCTGAAATCCTTCATTAATCTGGCCCATCCTCTCAAGCTTGAAGGCATCATAATAATTCTGAAATGCTCCCATCACGGCTCTGTAAGCATTGATCAATTTTAGAGATCACTGTTCCTGAGTCTATAAAGATCCCGCCGCTACCATCTTGCCTAATGTCAAAGAGACCAGGTTCAAATCCCAACTGGCGAGCGCCAACACTTAGATCATTCAGTTGGTGAACACTATTTGGTAAAAGACTCCTGGAGGAGGCGTTACAAAATTAGTGGTTGGGATATGTTAGAGTTGGTGAACTCTATTTAACGTTCAGGTGACCATTTTTAAAGACGCATCAGAATTATTTACCAGGTTGTGTTAACACAGTCAGGATACAACAAATCAATAATAATAAATTTGTAAATGTAAAACACACTAGCATATATATGGTTCGGCTAAATCCACTTTTAGCCTACATCTATGGGACCTCGTCCAGATCGAAGCAAATCCACTAATCAACAAACATTACAAGAAATAGTTCAAAATTGATCTAGGATACAATAAAAAGAACTCTCTGTTCAACTTTACACTTAGCACCACACTCTGAATCTCTAATGTCTTGTTGTACCAGGGATCTCTTCACACCAGGTTCACTCCTAGAAAATGCTTGAGCTCCACCCAAGCTTTAGTCGTTGAAGACACGCTCTAGCATCAGCAAAGGAACCACGTTCTAGCCGCCATTCAACAATGAAGATAAACAAGAAACTTCCTAGCACAAACCCATATAAAAGGACCTAACCAAGAACAATTCTCTGAAAAGTTCAAAGAACCAACAAAATAGATATTCAGGTTCAAAAAGAAAAACAAACAAGGAAGAAGATAAAGTTCCTTTTAGCTCAACAAAGATGAAAGATGATAAGCATTTAGCACAAAAACATATGAGGAACCTTTAGGGAAAATACTCTATGAAAGTTTTAGAGCACAAGGCAAAAATAAACATAAAGGTTAGTTTACAAATGAGCAAGAATGAATAAGATATAGACCAATTTCGTGCTCTCCAATTCTCGCCAAGTCAGCAAATAAGGGTTGACATATGTTGGCCCAAAAATGGAAAAGATTTCATCTATCTCTTGGGACCACAACCAAAGAAGGAAAAAGCTTATTTCCTTGGATCACAAGAGAATATTGGGAGACCTTTAGGTGGTCCTCATGACAGCACAAAAGATACAAATAAAATATCTCAGTTGATAAAAATAAAAACGCAACTTGTGAAAAGTGAGTCAGACGTGCGATGTTAACATAGCAGAAAAGTGTACGCACACACGATATAAAATGCAACATGCATATGCATATATCTAACATAAGTGTACAAGCACACATCCACTGTGCACACACATGAAATGAAAAAGCAAAAGGCATAAACCTAACAGTTGAACATGTGGAGGACAAAAAGAATTCCAATTTTTTGTTGGACCACAAACATATTTTTCTCTTTCTTGGGGATCACGGACAAAGTCTTACAACCTTTTAGAACCACATAAGGAAATTGTGACACATGTAAAGTTAGTTTACACAAGAATATCATGAGTCAAAATAAACTTGATGGGCAAGACAACAAAGAGAAAATGCCACTTGGCAAAATATGTCACCATAACATAAGTTTGGCAAAAATATCAACAGGAGCTTAAGGAATCTCGTTTCTGAACTTTACATATCTAGGAAAATTCACTTCCTCTGTGAAAGGGGGGAAACAATATGAGAATCGTCTGCCAATTTGATCGGACAATTGTGAAACTATTGAATCTGGAGACCTGCTGAATCCCATGGTTCCTGAAAGCACACCCACCTTACTGGGGGTGTGCAAAATCAACTGATGTTAAATTTTCTCCAAATATAAATATCGGTTAGTGATTGGTGTTAATTAACAACTAATCATGTCTAAAAATGTTAAAAGATGTTAAGATTTACACTTGATAATTCCTTTACATAAAATACTAATCTTTAAGCTAATGTGAAAATTGCGTTGTAAAAAAAACATCGTGAATATCAAAACTTGCTTCCAACATTTTCAGCCCAAGAGTCCAATGAAAGTTGATTGTTGAATAATTATTTCTGAGGAGTTATTATTATTATTGATTAAAAGTGGTCATTGCCACTCTGAATACAAAATACAGCAGGAGAGAAGAAAGATATAAATCATGGAGTATCATTAGAACATGGGTCATAAATAAATTGAAGGGCATTTATGTTTTCATCATAAATGATGCGCTTTTGTTGCTGAGACCATATTCCCAGAATGCTTATCCCATTTCCAGCCTTCAATGCAACACAGAAATATCCCTCATCAACATTAAAATAATGCACATTATTCGGATCTACTGCGAACGGATCTCCTTCGAAGTGGAAGACTAAAAATGCGAAAGCATTAAACCCTTCTGGCGGTTTCTGGTAACAAAGATCAAATCCTTCACTAACTTGGCCCGTCCTCTCAAGATTGAAGGCATCATAATAATTCTGAAAAGCTTCCATCACGGCCGTGTAAGCATTGCGGCCAACAGTATATTGATCAATTATAGTGATCAATGCTCCTGAGTCTATAATGACGCCGCCGCTGCCATCTTGCCTAATGTCAAAGAGACCAGGTTCCAATCCTAACTTGCGACCGCCAACACTTATATCATTCAATTTCAAGTAATAGTAAAACTTTCCTGGAGGCGTTGCAAAATTAATGGTTGGCGTAATTCCTGGAATTTGAGGAATCTCGTCTCCGAACCTTACATATATAGGATGATTCATGTCCTCTGCGAAAGAGGGGAAACAATATGAGAATCGTTTACCGATTGGATCGGCCAATTGTGAAGCTAATGAATCTGGAGACCTGTTGAATCCCATGATTCCTGAAATCACACCGTTTTTTTGGAAATTAGGATGTCGAGAATCATCAGAGCACCCAAAGATCAAATTCCGAACAACATTCACTCTATCGCCATCTCCAACCGTGAATGATTCCAGGGACGCAACACCTTTTGTATTGACTTCTCCATTTCCATAGCTAACATCATATACACACTGCTGATCGACACATCTGTAGAGATTATTATCACCTACACAAAGAGGATGATCGCAAGAAAGCTTTTGATAAGTCGATGATGCAAGAGAGTCATACATGGGATATATTTGTCTGTAACAATTCTTGCAAGGCTTACATTGTGACCAAATTAGGCCACCACCTGTGTCCAACAGCAAAAACACAAATACGGGGGGGGTTCCGATCCCGACGTACACGATATAAAATAATGTATCAGTTCCCACTGTGAGAATAATCGTTTCATCAGGTGCTAATGTTGCATTTGGAGCAAGAACTGCTTCCAAATAGGCGGCTCTGGCATCGGAGGATCTGATCATTCTTTGAAGTCTTTCAAGTCGAGTGAGGTTTCCAGGGTATAGTGGAGACTTCGGAGAGTCCCTGGGGATGAGTTCAAGAATCAGTCCGGGAGACTTTGAAGTAGTGAAATGGAGTTGGGAAAATGTTGTGATGAAGTATAGAAACAGAGTGGCTGCCTGAAAAGTTCCCATCCTGATCATTTTAGAGAGGAAGAATAAGTCTTACTGCGACTCCATGGCAGGTATATTTATATGTTTAAATTTTAATCAAATTATTAATACTTTTAGCTTTTTTTCTAAAATTATTATGGTAATTGTCATGATTAATTAGGTGTATTTGTTTTCTAAACAAATAAACAGTGATGCTATTGACACCCCATCTTTTATCTTATTAAACCCTTTTGAAATTCTTTTCCTAATTCCAGTTTTATTCTCTCTCAAAATGACTCTGACTAATTCAATTAATGAGGTTTTTATAGAAGTGGGATTTTATAAGATAAAATTTAGGGGACAAATCGCATCACTCATAAATAAAACATGATATAGTTAATTATGTTAAATGGTAAAATCTTTAAATGATAAAAAAAAGAAAAAAAAAAAGTGATAGCATTAAATTATTGACTAAATGAAATATTTTCTTAATTCTTTCAATGTAATTATCTTGCTTAATTAGTTTTTTTTTTTTTTTTTTTTTCAAATATTTCTTTTATAAATATGTCTTAGTTATTTCCTCTAACTCTTTCCACTTTAATTATATTGTAATTATTTCACGATAATTTTTTTTTTTTATTTCCTTTCTTGAAATGATGAACCTATAAAAAGTTGATCTTTAGACATTAAGTCTTCGATTTATTTTGCTAAGACAAAATCTATAATTACTATTTTTATTGTTAATTAATAATAATAATAATAATAATAATATGTGTTGATTAGAGATTCACACCAACTAAAGTGATCCGATTGACCTTGGCGAAATCCGAACAGATGTGTGCGTAATTAAAGATAACCAGCAAAGTATGAAATAAAAGCAGTAAAGTGAATGACAAAATGGTTTTTAAAGTGGTTCAGCAAGTTATGATCTTGAGCCTACATCCACTGTTTTTCTTATTAGCTATGATAGCTTACAAGAAAATAATAGAATTCCTAGAACAATTTGCTAACCCCTTTTCCATCATTGGAAGGGGTTTATATACAAGTTTTGTATAAATGAAAGAACGGAATTAAAAGAATTACAATCAAGATTGGAATGCAACTCCAATATTCTCTCGATTGAGCACTAAGATTGCACCATGATTATTATCGATCTGATCCCATTCGAAATATCTGGGATATGAGTTTTCTGTGATTTGCTTGAACAACTATAAAGATTGATCGCAACTAGCTTGTAATGAGTCGAGCTATATCTCGATGAGCTTATGCTGGTTCGGACAATCATTTGAGCTGGACTAATTCTGGGTCGGGTTATAACCTCGCGGAACTCTAACTTCTCCGGGCTTGATGAAAAAATCAAACACAACATTTGCCCCCTAGTGTTCAATGCTTCTTTTGAGCTTCAACGACTAATTGCTCGATTTGATGTCAAGCTCAGACTTCATTGATTGTGTGCTGAATGCAAACTTTGTCAAGCTTCTTGAATCGGACTTATCTTCAGTCGACATAATCAACACCTGGCTTTTTCATTGCTGTAACATTCTCAATAAATTTGGAATTTGAAACGAGGGGCATGCGAGTAATTTCCACACAGTCATGTGGCATTAAATGCAGTAGGCTTTTGCAGTTACTTTTTGTCGCGTGTGGGCAACTACAGTTGTCCACGCGCAAAGTCGAGGAGACGTGCGACGGTAGTTATGATTGCAGAGGTCTGGCGATTGATCGACCTTCGTGGATGATTGACACGTGGCCATGTCGAATAGTCAGGATTGCTCGACGAATGGAGGGCTAAGATTCACTATGGATCAATGGTTACGGTCGAATCTTGACCCTTCGTCTCCCATGTGCACCATTATAAAAGGAGGCAACCTTTGTCAAAACTCTCACACTTTGCAAAAATATTCAGACTTCTTTGTTTTTACTATGTCGCTGCTCTCTCAACTTCACGATGTTTTTCTGGCGAGTTTCCAGCACCTTTGCACTTCGGTAAGGTCGTTTCTCCTCTTTTACTCATTTTAACGTCTATTGTTGTTAAGGGTGGCCATTGTCGTGGCCACATTAAGCTTTTTTAGGGTTTTTTGAGTATTCCCGTCAGTTTTGGGTTTTAGAAGGGTTAAGGAGGTGACCGCCGAAATCCTAGTAGCTCGCTTATATCTATTGATCAATGTGAGCTACCCTGGATGCCTGAACTAAAAGCAAAGTGTGAATAGGTCGCAAAATTTTTTATCTCTGACACTTGGTCGCTTCTGTTTTAGGTATCTAGAGGTGAGATTTCACCATGTCTTCATCAAGTACCCATAGTATAGACCGCATGTTTGATTCTCCGGCAAGCTCATTAGTTTGCGGGGAAATAGTTCTAGAGGTTTTCGAGGACTTCATTGTACGGAGCTTAGACCTCAATGTTGCGGGCTCTTCTAACCATGCTTCCGTGGAGACTCCTCCACTAAGGAAGTCCCTGGTTCATAGGCCCCAAAAGGAACCAAGTTCCTCAATTGAGATGCGAACATTGAGCACATAAAGGACGTTTAAGCAACTCAGCTTCCCTTGATGGCCCTAGGAAAATTCTCCCAAAAGAATCCCTCCGCTAGTTGGGTGACGAGATCAAACACCCTCTTAATGTGCGAGATGTTTGTTCCCCCTCATTATTTCATCGCTAATGTCCTGAACAAGTTTGGCATAACTCCCCTTCAATTGACGAGAAACTCCTACATAATTATAGTAGGTATGTACATAGCATACATGATAGTTGACCTGGGCGAGCTGTCTGTGGAGGAGCTTGTCAGCACATATTAGTGGTTTGATCGAAGTCCCAAAGAAGGTTCCACACTAAGACTCTCAATATTTTTTCTACAAGTTTGAGGTGACGACATGTTCACCTCAGAAGTAGTGAGACTCCAAACTTCGCGCTAGCTAAAGAATATTTCCTATCTGAAAAGCAAATTAACTTTACATTCTTTTTTGTTTTGCAATAAAAATCGAGCAGAATTTCCTTCCTGAGGCGAGCTTAGAGCTACTTCGGTGATTTAGTGCTCTACCTGCCAGTCAGCGTGACATTACTTAGCTCATCACTCTTTCTCGGTTGACAGCGTATTGCTTCTGCATCAATGTAGCCAAGTTTTACACCATCTTTGAGAAAGGTAACTACTTAGTAGCTCACCATTTTTGATCTTGCTTTGTTAAGTCGCTAAACACCTACTTTTCCTTTGCATATATGTGGGCCAAAAAACCCAAAGGCCTAAAGAAGAAGGCTCCAGCTAGCAGGGCTGTCAAGAAGTTATCGATTGTTCTAGCAAAAAAGTAGCCCATGGACACTGCTAGGGTAACCAAGCAAGGTACCTCATGCCCGGTCCCCAAGCATGGCGGTGGTGAACTTGGGGAAGGCCTAAGTGCCAAGAAGCCCATGATTGCTTCCAAGGCAGTCGGGGAGAAGGGTGCCCTTGAGCCCCAAAAGGGCTCAGAGAAGAAAACCACCGAATAAGTTAGAGGCTCGAGGAAGAAGAAAATGTCCGAGCAACAAGATGGCTCGAGTAAGAAAAAGTTGCTTGAGTAAGAAGAAGGCTTAGGCAAGAAAAAGTTGACTGAGCAATAAGGAGGCTCGAGAAAGGCAAAGGTTATTGAGCAGCAAGACGACTCGGGCTAAAAGGTTGTCGGGTAAGCTGCTAGCCCAAAGAAAGTTACAGCCAAGGACTTGGCTAAAAAGAAGTATGTTCCCACAGGTGAGACTGTCATTCTTGTGGTAAGTAGATCAAGCTTGCCTTTACGAGGAGGCAAAGGGAAGGCGGACAAGGCAACTTGGGCTACGCTCGACCCACTGATCGATGGGTTCTCAATGCATATCGATGTTAGAGACTTATCGGCTAGGGAAGCCATCTCTCCGCGAACCTATATGGGGCTCAGAGATGTTTCTCCTCACGAGCAGCTTGCTTAGGCATGCAACTACGTCACTAGGGTATCGACAGTTTGCCCTTCTTCCTTTCTCTTAGGTTTTTTCCTTTATTTCTCGCTAATTGCTTCTTTCTTTTTAGGCTTGCATGGCGACCAAGCTCTTCCTTAATAATAGTAATCCCAAATTGGAGGGTACCCATGTGGGGTGGCAAGAAGCAAAGAAATTGAAAGAAGACACCTTGGCTAGCATCAAGTTGGCGAAGAAGGAGAAAGGTTCACTGTTGACCGAGCTCGAGTGGCTGAAGAAAGAGGCTAAGGCCTTCGAGGTCAAGGAAATGGAGTTCCTTGACAAAATTAAGGCAAGCGATGCCGCTCAAGCAAAGGTTGAGGCAAAGTCAGCCGAATCTGAGAAAAATCTGGCACAGTAGTGAGGTACCAATAACAAGTTGAATTCCAAGCTTACCATGGCTCAAAAAGCTACCTCGGACTAGGAGGCCAAATATGAAAGGGCATCGTACAACCTCTCTAGTGTGGTGGAAGACCGTAAAGAGGCTAAATCTAAGGTCACCTGGCTTAAGATTGACGTCAAGGAGCTAAGGTTGACCATCACGAGCCATGCTTGGGACACCTCGATCTACCTCGTTCAGCAGTTGTGGGAGGCCCATTCCTCACTTGACATCTCCTTCCTTCATGTGGCCTATCAAAAGGAAAATGATAGGATGAAGACTAAGGCACAGGGTATGGAGTATGTTTATTCAGACAACTCTAAGTCCAACAATGAGGTTGAGGGAGAGGTCAGGGAAGAGGAGGAAAAAGCCAAGGTCAAGAAAAAGGTTGAAGACCTAACTCCTTTAGCCTCGCTCCCAGCCATTGTCGGTGATCTTCCTTCGGCCGAGCTTCAGGAAGATGCCCCGACTCCTGCTCCTGATGATACTACTCAAACTTTTACTGTCGACGATACTCATGCTCCAGTTGTCTAGATTTTTCCTTATCTTTTTTTTTTTTAGTTTAGCTTGTAACTAAACTACTATAATCAATGAAACATTGATTTTGCCCATTTTTTTCGAGCAACAATTCTTTTCTGCAAAGTCATTTTAATTGTTCTGATCGAACTTAACATATAAAATTTGAATTTGCTCCAAGTTATGCGTAGCCCA